CTGAATACATATGTTTGCCTAGTAATAGGGTAAACTTTGCTATAAATAAGAAAAATGTCCTTGTTATATGGACTGTAAGTTTAGCATTCAGTGTTTATATATCTTGTTTAAAGCTTGCATAGTTTACTGTGAAAAAAGAGGGATGTGGTGTACTGTTATATGCCCTTATAATGTAATTGCGTATTCACTCCACTAGAGGGCCACCTTGGTTTAACTTCGGGGGTGCTGTAGAGTCAGTGAGTGAGACTGAAGTGCATGTGATAATTAAACGTGGGAGTTACTCGTGTTCTGTTAATAAATGTGTTTCTGAATTATACTTCTCCGTGTAAGCTGTCTATATAACACACAGCACAAGGAGGAAACACTACAGAGCCCTAGCAGGTGTACTGTGTTTTACAGGGCATTATGTCTTTCGTAAAAACGTCTTTCAAAGAATTCCAATTTGTCAGCAGATAGTGTCGCCACATAAAATATTTCTTCAATAGTGGCTTGCTGGTCTAGGAGTATGATTCTCCTTCATGCCATGAGAAATCCAAGGTTCAAATTTCAGTTGAACACTTACAGTTGTCTTTTGTTTTGTATGGGCGTTTTGGCTTACACAGAGGCCTTTTTTCTGAGAATGCCGGTTTGTCAGCAGATAGTGTTGCCATGTAAAGTGGCTGTTTTGCAGTTGCTCGTTGGTCTACGGGCTTGATTCTCGCATAAGGTGCGAGAGGTCCCGTTTTCAAAGCCTGGACGAACCATTGCAGAAGTCCCGGGTCCAAATGAAGCAAAAGCCCTTCTTCAATATTTGTAAGATAAGGATTTCTGACCATCTGTTGCTTCTGATGTCTTGTGAAATATTCAAGCTTTTGTGGCTCGTTGGTCTAGGGGTATGATTCTTGCTTAGGGTGCGAGAGGTCCCGGGTTCAAATCCCGGATGAGCCCTTGCATTTATTCTGTTGTTTTACAGGGCTTTATGGCTTTCATAAAAAACGTTTTTCGAAGAATTCCAGGTTGTCAGCAGATAGTGTCGGCACATAAAACATTTCTTTGCTTAGTGGCTTGGTTGTCTAGGAGTATGATTCTCGTTCATGCCATGAGAAATCCCAGATTCAAATTTCGGTTGAGCCCTTACAGTTTTCTGCTGTTTTGTAAGGGCGTTGTGGCTTACACAGAGGCCTTTTTTCTGAGAATGCCAGTTCGTCAGCAGATAGTGTTGCCATATAAAGTTACTGTTTTGCAGTGGCTCGTTGGTCAAGGGGTATGATTCTCGCTTAGGGTGCCCTTGATTCGTTAGAGAAAGATTTCTGACTATCTGACGCCTTATGAAATTGTCTCGATTTAGTGGCTCATTGGTCTATGGGTATGATTTTCACTTCGGTTGCTAGAGGACCCGGGTTCAATACACGGATGAGCCCTTTTAGGTGTACTGTGTTTTACAGGGCATTATGTCTTTCGTAAAAACGTCTTTCAAAGAATTCCAATTTGTCAGCAGATAGTGTCGCCACATAAAATATTTCTTGCATAGTGGCTTGCTGGTCTAAGAGTATGATTCTCGTTCATGCCATGAGAAATACTAGGTTCAAATTTCAGTTGAACCCTTACAGTTGTCTTTTGTTTTGTAAGGGCGTTGTGGCTTACACAGGGGTCTTTTTTCTGAGAATGCCAGTTTGTCAGCAGATAGTGTTGCCATGTAAAGTGGCTGTTTTGCAGTTGCTTGTTGGTGTACGGGCTTGATTCTCGCATAAGGTGCGAGAGGTCCCGTTTTCAAAGCCTGGACGAACCATTGCAGAAGTCCCGAGTCCAAATCAAGCAAAAGCCCTGCTTCAATGTTTGTAAGATATGGATTTCTGACCATCTGTTGCTTCTGATGTCTTGTGAAATATTCAAGCTTTTGTGGCTCGTTGGTCTAGGGGTATGATTCTCGCTTAGGGTGCGAGAGGTCCCGGGTTCAAATCCCGGACGAGCCCTTGCAGTTATTCTGTTGTTTTACACGGCATTATGGCTTTCATAAAAAAACAATTTTCGAAGAATTCCAGTTTGTCAGCAGATAGTGTCAGCACATAAAACATTCCTTTCTATAGTGGTTTGGTTGTCTAGAAGTATGCTTTTCGTTCATGCCGTGAGAAATCCCAGATTCACATTTCGGTTGAGCCCTTACAGTTGTCTGCTGTTTTGTAAGGGCGTTGTGGCTTACACAGAGGCCTTTTTTCTGAGAATGCCAGTTCGTCAGCAGATAGTGTTGCCATATAAAGTTACTGTTTTGCAGTGGCTCGTTGGTCAAGGGGTATGATTCTCGCTTAGGGTGCCCTTGATTCGTTAGAGAAAGTTTTCTGACTATCTGATGCTTCTGAGGCCATGTGAAATTCTCTCAATTTAGTGGCTCGTTGGTCTAGGGCAGTGGTTCTCAAACTGTGGTACGCGTACCACTAGTGGTACGCGGGCTTCCTCCTAGTGGTACGCGGAGGAATCGCCAAATAATGAAAGAAACAATTAACACTTTTAATCCTTTAATGCGTAATATAACATTGATGTGATCAGCATTGGCTGTTTTGTGAAGCGTACGATCACAGTGCTGTGCTTAGAGTGTTTATTTTAGTGCACTGTGTCATAAGCTGCTGAAAATCTGTTTCCGAAGTTTAAGAATTGATTCTGAAGCTTGATTTGACTGACATGAAAAGTGGCCAATCACAGTCGACCTTGACTAGTTGCGTGAAACGTAAGGGCGGGACAAAGGCTTTCTGTGTTGCAGAGACAGAAAAAACAACTTAAAAACAAATGTTTTGTTGGAATAATGCTTCTCGGATGTTTTCACTGCAGAGATGTCTAGCAGAGTAATTAAACCGCGGACATATTTCCTGCCTATTTGATGATCTTCATACACGTTTCGCTCTCCGACAGCCAGTCGACTCGCCTCTGACCTGTCACTCCTCTAAATACATTCTGAATGGCGGCGCGGGAATGAAGGTATTGCGCAATTACTAATTTCTGCAAATGCGGCGAGTGCTTTATTTTAACACGAGAGCGCATTCATGTACGCAAATCGCTAAAACAGATATGCGAGCTCTTAAATAGGCTTTTTTGAAATGAACTGCAAGACCTCTCATGATCGCCTGTGTGCTCAGATTGAATACAATCGCGATCTTTCCACTATTAAAGTAGACATTATTTATCTTTGCTCCTTAACTAAATTTAGTCAAAAGTATTCAAAGTTATCAAATATTTAGAAATAGATTGATACATGATCGATGACAATGCTAATGGTCTTCCTATTTGGCTGTGTTGTGAAGTGAAACTTACTTTTAGCAAAGGTGGAACATTTTTTATTTCTTTACGACAAAAGAATTATGCTGGAAATGTTTCTGGATGAGGTATTTGTGTGATTTTTACATTTTAGCTGTATTCTGATCTGTCCTAAAGCATTACAGGTCAAAGCAATCCATTGTTAGCCTACTTCCCAGACAGCACACATACGTTGGGCCGACGTCGTGCCGATTTTCAAAATTCCATCGGTGCGATGTCGCTCAGGGAGCGTTTGCTAATTGGCAAAATGTTGCCGCGACGTCGGCAAATGATCGGAAACGCTGTCCGGCCGATGTTAGGACGACGCAACCGGAAATACCGGCCGCTCCGCGGAGGCGCTGTTCTCAGGCGTTTTGCTCATACTTATGGACCACTAGCTGCAGCAGCTGCTTATTTATAATAAACACGACACACCACTCTCAATAACAGTTGAAGATTTATTAATATTTTCACAAACATACAAATAGATTAACATACTTTTATCACACATAACCATGTTTTACCGCGTTTAAAACAAAACCAACAAGTTGTACTATAACCATGGCTGAACTACTGTGCAATAAAGATTTTAAATACAAAAGTCCATTGCAGCATTTATATTAAGACCATAGGAATATTTACAATTACTTCAAAACATGTACACTAAGGGTGACTATAGTTTACTATAGTAAAAACACAAATAACTTGTGTAAGCACATGCTATAATGCTTATAATTTCTTAAATAGTGTTAAAGAAAATGCATGTTTCCAAGACTATAATTTTAAAATACAAGATAATACCAGTCATGTGTTCAGTATCCAAAAGACTTTCTTCAGGGAGTTACAATAATAAAAGAGTACACAAACACAAAATAAATACCAAGCAAACAATATTTACAGTAGTAAATAAAATAATACAAATTAAAATAATTGTCTGATAAAATCTTATTAAAGTCTGTGGTCAATTTTTTTTACATTTTTTTTTTATAAATGGTATTCAAAAATTTGCAATATCCTCTGAACTAATAACACACCAATAATATAAAATAACAATACTTTCTCAAAGATAACCAGTTTTTTTTAAGCAAACTCTAATGCACGACACAAAACAGATTTTGTCAATATATATATATATATATATATATATATATATATATATATATATATATATATACACACACACACACACACACACACACACATACACATATATATATATATATATATATATATATATATATATATATATAAATCCCTTAATTTCTGTTTAACGGAAATATTTTTTAACACATTTCTAAATCACAATAGTTTTAATAACTCATTTCTAATAACTGAGTAAATAATATTTCACCAGATATTCTTCAAGATACTCTTCAAGACACAGCTTAAAGTGACATTTAAAGGCTTAACTAGGTTAATTAGGTTAACTAGGCAGGTTAGGGTAATTAGGCAAGTTATTGTATATCGATGGTTTGTTCTGTAGACAGTCGAAAAAAATTGCTTACGGGGGCTAATAACATTGACCTTAAAATGTTTTTTAAAAAAATTCAAAACTGTTTTTATTCTAGCAGAAATAAAAGAAATAAGACTTTCTCCAGAAGAAAACATAACATTTTCTTGCTCTGACCTATATATATATATATATATATATATATATATATATATATATATATATAAACTGGTTGTAAATTGTGTACAATGTTCCAAGGAAACAGACAAAATTAAAAGAAATAACCTGTCGTTTAGTTTTGTTTAATCTTGCGGAATGTTGCTTACACATAAAAGGAGATATATAGGTGGAATAAAAAGTGTGTCGCCATCCTCTAAATTTTTCTTGTATGTTGTCTTCATCTTTAGTCTTCACAAGTGAGGCTGGCCTAAACCGGGACTGCAGTAGCCAAATCTAATCCTTGTAGTGGGAACCCTTAAATAAAGCAAGAAACCAAAAGGAGAAAGATTAGCATTGCAGCAGTTCATATTACCACAAATATATATTATTTGTTTCATGACATATAACTGGAGTATATTTTAAAAAAACAGATTGAGGAGAGAATCAGTACATTGGAATACTATTTTTTCATCATGTGACGCTATTAATTATATACATTGTATTAAATTCACAGTATTACTGCTTGACTGTATTAATTAAATAAAGCTGACACTATCAGAAGAGAATTTACCATACCAACCTAAAAGCTATGAAACAGTAGTGTATGTTTAAGATGTTACTTACTAGTCCTATTGTACTTTGGAGAGGTTTTCTGACAGGAGGATCCCTTCAACTCAGCAGAATTCTCAGCAGACCATCAGCGTACACCAATCTAAGAATAAAATAAGCAATTTGTTAAAAACCAAAAATATATATATTTTATATTTCCAGGTTTATAGGAAAGAAGAAAGCTAAAGCAGATTTAAAATGTAGAAAAAAAATAAAACCTATTGACAATTTAATGGCACAACATACCCCAAACTAAGCACGCTCAAATGGTTAATTTACATAAATGACAACTGCTGCTCATTAAACTTATATTTATACTTTTATTAACTGTTAAGGATTCATTCATTCATTTTCTTTTGGGCTTAGTCCCTTTATAAATCTGGGGTCGCCACAGCGGAATGAAAGGCCAACTTATCCAGCATATGTTTAACGCAGCGGATGCCCTTCCAGCTGCAACCAATACACACTCATTCACACACACTTAGACACTATGGTCAATTTTAGCATACCCAATTCACCTATGTCTTTGGACTTGGGAAAACCGGAGCACCCGGAGGAAACCCACACCAACACGGGGAGAGCATGCAAACTTCACACAGAAACGCCAACTGACCCAGCCGAAGCAGCGACCTTCTTGCTGTGAGGCAAACGTGCTACCCTCTGCGCCACCGTGCTGCCCTGTTAAGGAATCAGATTAATATAAATGAATTGACATGTTTATTTAGTGTCTGACACATTAAATATTGCATTTTTAAATATTGTTTCATTTTAAGATTTATTTCAGAATTAACTATAGAACCTGGATATATCGTCACATTTTCCTGCACAGCAGCATTTCCAAGAACATAGAAAAACAGAATAAAGGCCAACTAAAAAAATAAAAATAAAAAACTCTGACTGAATGCTTTAAGTAACTGGCTAGGAATGGGCAGGTATAAGATTCTGAGGGTATAATCTTGGATAATAATATCACAGTTTCACAGTATTGTGATTACTGCTCTGAAATGTGTTTTTTTTTATCTCTGTGTAAAAAACAGCTACTTTTTCCCCATTGAACACACAGTAAACAGTAAACATGCCAGGCTAAATAATAATTTAATAAAATAGTACTATCTTCATTAGACTCAAAAACACTGATTTCTTGTGAAGGCATAATAAGCTATTTGTTTTTCAGATGTTTGCTGAATCGTGAGCTGACCAGTAGCCTTTGATGTGGAGGGTCTTTTGCTGTTGTAGATAATGTTGGACTATTTATTTAAGTCTTTGATAATGCGCTAAAATCCATATATATAATGCATCCGGAAAGTATTGATAGCGCTTCACTTTTTCCACATTTTTAATGTTTCAGTCTTATTTCAAAATGGATTAAATTCATTAATTTCCTCAAAATTCTACACACAATCCCCATAATGTGTGTTGACCCGATTTTAGTTAATCATTTACAAGTCAATATTGCCTATATGGATTGTGATTTTCAAAAATAATTTACATGTAAAATTGCAGTGTTAAATGCAATGCCATCAAACATTTTAGACGCACCAGTGCAAAAAGCTAGTCTAGAGCACTTGGAATGCTGGTGTAGTTCTAGTTAAATTCAGTTCAGTTAAAGCTGTATATTCAGCCTATCTCAAGTATAGGATTTAGTATTTAACTAATCTTAACAACTAAACATTTACGAGTCTGTATTTTCCAGCTCATGTACTACAATGTAACAGATACTGTATATTGCCACCTTGATACTTAAGCTTTCTTTAAAATATTTTGTGTTCAACAGATAAATTAATTCTTTCATTTAATTTTTTCAGTGCAATAGTATAGCTTACACTGGTGTATTTGTATGGACCCCCCAAAATAGCGGAGGCCACTTTCTGGCCACCCAAGTATAAACTTCTAGCCTAGCCACTGTGAACTACCTGTCTGTCCTGCTCCAGAACTCTTTGTCGGCTGCTTGTATGTCTGGATACAGCTGCACAAGTCTTTTAACACTGACAAATACAGCCTCTGCACATCCTCACAACCAGGAGAACAGAATGATCAGGAGGACCTGAAAAATATAACCAACTGAAATCAGTTGAAATGTATTTTGTCTTGTGATGATGGCACAAAAATAAATTATTTTTCACAAAGGATGTGCTGTTACCTACGAAACGGCCTATAATGAATGATCTGTTGATCCTGTTTCCTTGATGTCATTCACTCAGAGATGGTTTGGACATTTGATTGTATCTAAACTGTAATGAATTTAAGTTAAAAAAAACATTGATAGCAGGACCATTGATCTTGTAACTTATACAAATTGTTAAGTATTGAACAAGTCTGCAACCAAACTAGTCAAGTTAATAATACTAATCTCAACCTAACTATGATTAGTTGTGTTGTTTCTGCTGCCCAGACGGTCTCTCCACCTGCTAATAAAAAAGGAAAAAGTATGGTATTTTTACAACAATGTAACTGCAAACAACTTAACTATAAGGGGGTAAGCAGTGAGCATTTTTTATTATAAGCATTTTACTGAATACTTTGTCACTGGTATTACCTAAAAACCAAACGTCCCAAGTTTGGCTCATAGCTGTCGTGTCCACACATCTGCCCAGTAGCTTATGGTAATACTGAAGACACTGATCAGCTGGTCCAACTGAGTTTGGAGTTGAACTGCAATTAGGCATCCAATACTGCAAAGAAAGAGAAACTCACTTTGGGTTAACAAATAATGTAATCCCATCCACACATTTTAAGTAACTGTGCAGTTAATTCTCTTATTGAATTAACAATAAGATACATTGTAGAATAGAAATTATACAATAGAAATAAGAGCATGACGTGGTGGCACAATAGGTAGTGCTGTCGCCTTACAGCAAGGATGCTGACTCGAGCCTCGGCTGGATCAGCTGGCATTTCTGTGTGGAGTTTGCAAATTCTCCCTGCGTTTGCGTGGGTTTTCTCTGGGTGCTCCGGTTTTGCCTACAAGTCCAAAGACATGGGGTACAGGTGAATTGGGTAGGCTAAATTGTCTGTAGTGTATGAGTGAGAATAAGCGTATATGGTTGTTTCCCAGTGATGGGTTGCAGCTGTAAGGGCATCCACTGCGTAAAACATATGCTGGATAAGTTGACAGTTCATTCCGCTGTGGTTACCCCAGATTAATAAAGGGACTAAGCAGAAAAGAAAATTAATGAATGAATTTAATAAGAGTTAAACTGATCTGTTAACATGTCTGTCAGGAGCTGATCTACCTTATAATTAATTTTTTGCTTAATTTTTTTTTAAAAGGGAAATCAATACCCACACATATACATATATATACACACATATATATATATAAAATGTATATAAAAATATAATATATATAAAAAATGGTTCTAGTAGTAAGGCTCCTTAAAGTTAAACTACATATTCACATTCCTCATCTGTCTACTGTTACATTATACTAATTACTGTTACATACAGTGGCCGAGAGTGCGAAAGAGAGTAATAAAACACAGACAAAGAAGACAGCTTTGTCACTTTTTCTATGCTATTTGTGAGATTGTGTATGTTGTCAAACTGATGAAAATGTTTTCTCAATTTACTTTAACATTTTTATAACTTACAGCCGTTGTTAAATTTAAAAGTATTTTAAACATGGATGTACATCTAAATGCATATAGGGCACATCTCAAAACATTATTAAATTTTTCCAGATAAATCAATTTTGAAATAAAACGTATATTAATCTCTAGACTTGCATCTCCCTGATCTTTTTAAAAGAACGGCCCCTCGTTGCTCATCACTGTTTGACAAGTGTCTGGCAGTCCGTCAAAAATATACTTACATATAAAAATATACTTACATATAAAGATGTTCATCAGCTACACGGCACTTAGGTTAAACTTTGACCTCCTTTTCAGTTGATGTGGAAAACAAAACCAAAAGAAAGACAAAACAAAACGACTGAATACAAGTTGCATATCATGCCTGTACAAATCAAAATTTATTCATTTAGGGCTTACATTGACTTGTTTGAGGATGAGTTAAGGTGTAAGGGATGGGTGAACGGTTTAAATATACATGTAATTCATAGCTATGATGTAAAGCTGAATTTTCAGCATCATTACTCAAGTCTTTAGTGTCACTTGATCTTTCAGAAATCTTTTTAAAGATGTTGATTTAGTGCTTGAGGTTGAACTAATATAATGGTGATTATCAAATGGTGCTGATTTGCTGCTCAAGAAACATTTCTGATTGCTATCAATGCTAAAAACAGATGTGATGACAAATAATTCAGTGTAAACTTTTTTCTAAGATTTAATAAATCAATTAATTAAAAAAAATAAAACAAAATGAAAATCACAAATATTACTTCTTTAGCAGCAAATCTGCATATTTATTAAGTTCTGAAGAATCATGTGATGTGAAATTTAACACCACTCACATGTTTCAATGTCAAAACTTTCTTAAAATAACTGCAATAAAGACAAGTAACAGATGCATAATATATAGACATGTAACATGTGCATAATGATGTGCAATGGAAATTCATATGAATTAATCCTCTGCTTAAAGTTACCTGTCTTTCCTGCATCGTGATCAGCTCCCTTCAGAAATTTAGGAATCTTGTGTTATGTTTTCTGTAGCAGGGGGTTATTCTCTCACTCCTGAAACCACAGAACACTTTTTTTACTTAACATTTGTTTAAGATACCATGAAATATCAAAACACGATTGAACTTTTGATTCACGGTCCTTTACAGTACAATGCGTATTAGACTAACGTTACATATGGAGTGCATTAAATAAAACATTGACAAAACCTCTCATCTACACATAAAGAATAAATAAAAGCCTAAACTTTAACAAACAAGTTTAACAAGAGCTAACATTAAGTAAGTTAACGTAATATTACCCCGACGCTAACGTTACCAGTGCTAATATGCTAACGGACTTTTACGAAGACTTACCACTCTTATATAACATATTATTCAACTGAATATTCATCAATAGCCAATAATAAAAGCGTGAGGAACAGTTTTATGTATTATTTGCTTTGTTTTAGGGACTAAACTTACCTGAAAACTGTCAAAACGGCAGCTTGAGAGAAGTCGTGTTGTGTCTTTCAGGTGGTGTCGTGTCGTGTTGTAGCTTCGTTTCCCATAGCAACATCCCCTCCTCTCCAGTGTTGGAATGAGACGCGCGCGCGCACATCAAAGTCATCCAGTGAAATGCTTATACGACCAGCCATGACCTTAAACACAACAAGATTATAGATGAGAAATAAATGACTGAATGAAATAAGAAATAAAATATAGACAAACTTTGGTCATAGGAGATATATCTGTAGAGAATAAAATCAACACATTAAACCCCGCGGCTATACAGTAGAGAACTTTAGCTGTAGACTGACTCCATGTACAGTGACACCATAACTGACCTGAACTAGAATACACACACAGAGATGTGTGTGTGTGTGTGTGTGTAACTGTGGCTGAATGTGCAGATGTGTCCACAGACGTGCTGAATGTGTGTGTGTGTGTGTGTGTTGTGATTGAGAGAGCGTCTGGTCTGTGTTCAGAAGCTCCTACTCAGTGTCTCTGTGTTGGTCTTGATGGAGCAGAAGTCTTTATTTCTCTGAGCGCAGCAGGAAAGCTTCAGCTAAACTGTGTGTTTTCCTACTTTAGTCAATCCAACACTGAAAACTCCTCATCTAGTCAAGAGTTACAGGCTTATTACTGGACACAGACATTACTGAGCTTGATTTATTCGCTTTATTAAGCATTATTAATGCACAGTTGTGCTGGTGAACATCAGTTAATGCACTGAGAGTCAACAAGAACTAACAGAGAACAACTTTACTGTCATCAACTAACATGAACAGATCAATAAATACTGGAATAAATGTGTTTTTATTGTTCAGTTCAAGTCAAATCATGAAGAAGAAGATCAGAAGAGCAGAAACAAACGTCACACTTCATTTCTCCTTTATTCATTGAGCTGCTGGATTTCTCTACAGTTGATTCAAGATTTGACAGAGATTCAGACAGGATTCAGACATTTCCATGTTCATCATCACATTCTAATATCAGCAGTGGATTTGACATTGACTTTTATTATTTGTGCTCAAACAACAGAGAAACAATGAAGAAGATCAATCTGTAGACAAGAATGAGCTGATCTGAACACAGCAGCATCCAGGAGGACACTTCATCAACATCAATGATGACACTGATGAAGACTGAGACACACACACGCACACACACACACACACACACACTCACACACACACACACACACGCACACTCACACACAGACACACGTTCTCTCTCTTTCATACACACACACACACGCACACAAACACACACACACATTCTCTCTCACACACACACTATCTCACACATACACAAATACGCACACAAACATAAACGCACACAGTGAAGACTTGTGCTCAAACACACACACACACACACATACACACACACACACACACACACACAGCTGCTGACTGCTCCTGCAGAGGATTCTGGGTAAATCTCTCGTCAGTCTTCAGCTCAGTTTCACTGATGATCCAGGATAAATCCTAAACCCAGCACAGAGTGGCTCAGTGAATGTGGTCTGGACTGAGTGGATGAGGCTCATTGTGTCTCTATAGATGTTGTAGAAGATCAGAGTTCCTGCACTGTGATCCACAAACACTCCTATTCTCCTGCTGAGCGGCTTCACTGGGAGATCAGTGTCTGTGTGATTGTGACTGAATATGAAACTGGAGGAAAAGCAGCGCAAACTCCAGGACTGAGCATTATATCCAAACTCACACTCAACACCTCCTCCCTTCCTCCTGATGCTCTTATATGACACTGATATACACACACCATCATCTCCACTCCAGTCAATCTCCCAGTAACAGCGTCCACACACACTCTCTCTGCACAACACCTGAGACCAATGATCAAATCTGTGTGGATGATCAGGATATGGCTGATTCTCTCTCACACTCTTCACCTCTCTGTTCTCCTCAGACAGAATGAGTTGAGTGTGTGCTGTGTTTGGATCCAGAGTGAGGAAACAGACATCTGAACACAAGAACACACACATTTACAACCACAGCTGTGCGTGTGTGTGTGTGTGTGAGAGAGAGAGAGAGAGAGAGAGAGAGAAAGAGAGAGAGGGTGTGTGTGTGTGTGTGAGAGAGAGTGAGTGTGTGTGTCTGTGCGTGTGAGAGGGTGTGTGTGTGTGTGCGCGCGTGAGCATGTGTGTGTGAGCGTGTGTGTGAGAGAGAGACAGAAGGGAGCGTGTGTGTGTGTGTGTGTGTGAGTCTGATTGTGTAAGTGTGTGCATGTGTGTGTGTGTGTGTGAGAGTGTGTGTGTGTGTGTGTGTGTATGTGTAGTCCTACATTTGCGTGGTCCTGCTGTAATCCTCGTCTCTCCTCCATGATCCAGACTGTAAACACACACAGATTAACATTCAGTCAGTACACAAACATCAGCTTATAACACACACACACACGCACACACACACACACACACACACACACACACACACACACACACACACACACACACACACACACACACACACACAATAAGACATGTGGAGTGTGTGCTGAATGCTGGACTGTGATTGGCTGATCTCAGTGCATTAATAACTGCAGTAAAACAACATGAGTGTGTGTGGAGCTGTCAAATCAGCTTCTGAATGACACACAGAGCTTTTAGATCAGATGTGAAAACAGAAAACAGAGTGGAAACACAGAAACAGACAGATATAAAGACTGAAGGATTCATTCAATGATCATTTGACAAAAGCGCAGCACAATAATAAAGCAGAATTCAGTGTTAAATGACTTGAAATATGATGGAGATCTTCATCTTCTGTCAAATGCCTCTTCATCATCTCCAAACATTGCTAAGTTGGAAAGCAGTGAATCCAGACCAATCTGCAGTCCTCCTCGCCCTTTGGAAGCTTGGTGGGTTTGTGTTCTGTTTATTGTTCATAATACTTCAGTTATAAAGGATTAGTTTAGGAGTTTTTTGTCATTTGCTTTATTTCAGTTTGTTCAACATGTGATTGTCACTGGACTATATCAGAACCAGCATCACTGTCTGCTGATCACTTTTATTGCCTGATATTTTGTGTTCATGTTAGTTTAGAAGCAGAAAAGAGCCAGATTACAAGATATGTGAGATATTTGCCAGAAACATCTTTGTTATGTCCACATTGTGAATGTAAATTGATATTGTTTATTTTCTTCCTGTTTATAGTTTTACTCCGCTCTTATTAAAGTGTGATAAAGGACATTCTGTGTCTGTGAAGTTCATGAGGGAGAGTTTAACTTGCTGTTAAAGTATACACAGGACGTATTTGGAGAACAGTACACACACATCTCTGAGCTGATACTGTACAGTTCTTCAGCAGAAATGTAGAGAACAAGTTTCACTGCTCAACTACAGTGCTGAAACTGTACAGTGTTAATATGAGATATAATATCACGCTTAATGTGAGAACTGCCCCAGTGCACTGACATATTTAACAGCTTTGATTAATATCTGGACACTAGAAGAGCAGTGAAGTATCAAAGTATCTGTATTCACAATAAACAAAGGCAGTGCTGCTCCACATACTTGAGTTTGTCCAGTGTGTAGTTTGGATCCTCCAGCTTGACTCCTGAATCTCCTGGATGATTGTAGCTCAGATCCAGCTCTCTCAGGTGTGAGGGGTTTGAAGTCAGAGCTGAAGACAGAAAACCACAGCCTTCCTCTGTCACCATACAGCCAGACAATCTACAAACACAGCAATAGTCCACATCACACAGTTGGACAATCACACATCTCTTTGTGTTGTGAAGATGCTGACTGCTGTTTCTGCTCATGTCAACAGCAGTGATGAACACACACATCCTGATCAGCTCTCCTTATTGATCGAGCCCTCGCATCAGCACACACACACACACACACTCACACACTCAACAAGGACTCGACATCATCTGTAGAAGTGTACAGAGCATGACATGTTACACGTGTTATTATATATTTTTTTGTTATTTTACTGTAGTTGAACCTGGTAAAGTTTTCCAACAGTGAACTGAGACTGCAACTATTAGTGAAATCTATATTAAAGCTCTTCAAATATGATTTAGATTTACAGTAATTGTTTTTCATGTTTAAATCTGATTTATTCTTGTGTTTAAAGCGTTTGTCATTCCTCTACTTCAGTGTCTCAGACTCATTCAGAAATGATTATTAAATGCTGGATTAATGCACAAGAGAGTTTGGCGAACACGTTTTACACCATTTCAAATATATATTATATGTGCGGCTGTATAAGTCACATACAGCGCTCAGCATAATGGAGGACAGCCCATTCTGAAAACCAAGACTTTCCTCCATTTCTCAGTCAATATAGGCAGTGTATTCTGCTGCATTTAAACAGAACACATTTATTAAACAGATTTATTTATGAACATCATATTTTAGTCACCAAACATATTCAGAAATTGAAAGACAAAACAATTAAATTCAGGCTAAATATTGCAAAATCCAAAAATTCCAGCTAAATTTTCCATTGTTTTGCTTCTCTTGATTTTTCCTCTGTTTAATTTTGTATTTAATATTTTTCTATAACACATAAATATGAGTGTCCTAGTTTTTGGACCATTATCATGAGTTATTTTGTTAGATGAGCTCCAGATTTGGCTAATCTATTGTATATGCACAAATATAATACTGTAGAGCTTCCTATTAAACTATGAATGTAAAAGAGAGATTAGTGAGGGCTGTACTTATATATGCTGAGCACTGTATATTGTTCACCCAGAGTGTTTACATGGTCACACAGCAGTAACACAACAAGCATTGAGTTTGGGCTAGCTTCTGCAGATGGACATTGCTGTACACTGCCCTTGATGGGTGAGTGGGGGAGTGTCTGTTGTCTCTCAGGTGTGAATTATTCATGAGCATTGTCACTCACACATACAGCTGAGATCACCCAAAACAACCTTAACAAAATGTAGATCATTGTAATGTTTTCTCTGAATGAGAGAACAGAATAATTTCACATAATTGTGCAGTAAATATTCTAGTCTACAAGACTGCTTACTCTAAACTCTTGTTCAGACACATTCAGTCTGTTTTTTTTTCCCTCTAAAACCTACTAACCACACATAATATTTGTTTTCTAAAAAACACCAGCATGTACATCAATATTTCCCACATATTATTGTAGCTCAGTTTGTGCTGAACACAAATGAAACACATGTTGGTCAGTTCTGTGTAATAAGTAGCTGAATCAGCACAGATGTCAGGGCATGTCAAAACATCTCAGGGGTCCCAAAATCACCTTAG